ATATGAAATGCATCTTAATAAGGCTTGCAGCAAATAATAATAATAATAATAATAATAATAATAATAATAATAATAATAATAATAGATGGAAATTACAATTAGAAGAGAAAATAAAAGAATTAGAACACATTCATAAAACCAATCCAGGTTGACACTGAAACAGTTAAATAAACTTAAATAACAATTACATTTATTGGAGTAGATAAAATATGTTAAACAAAATCATTTTGAAAATGCAAACCAAGGAAACCTCTGGCATATCAAATAAGAAAAGAGAAAGAAAGAAGGATGATAACAGCAATAGAAAAAGAGAACAAATTGTTATATACAAGAATGGATGTAACAGAAGAACTTGCAAAACTGTTAAAGAAATTATATTCCAGGCACAAGATTGACAAAGGAAATTTGAAAACATATATTGAAAACTCAGAGCCTAAAGAATTTACTGAAGAACGTAGACAAATATTAAGCAAATGTATAACATCTCAAGAGATTTAAGAAGCAGTAAATAAAATTGGTAAGGCACTAGGCCCAGGTGGGCTGACAGCCCTATATTACAAAAACCTAAAAGAGGAATTGGTGGAACCATGATTGAAGATGATGAATGAAATTCAAACAACAGAAAACAATACTAAAGACAGGGGAGGAGGCATATATAATGTCTGAATCCACAGGCATATATAAAGTTAATACACAAGGGAATTACTGAGGAAACCCCAGTCATATAGATCAATTTCTTTACTAAATGTTGATTACAAGATATTCACTATTATATAACCTAAATGTACGAGGAAGTGCATTCCTGAAATTATACACACAGGTCAGGCAGGTTATATTCGCAAAAGGAAGATGAAAGATAACATCAGATTGATCATAAATGCACTAGAATTCATCAACATTAAGAAAAAGACGGCAGCAATAGTATTTTTAGATGTGGAAAAAGTCTTTGACAACTTGGAATGGATTTTTTACTAGAGGTCTTAAAAAAAATGAATCCTGGAGAAGAATTCGAAACCTGGGTGGAAAGCATATATCAACAGAAAACAGCAAAGATTACAGTAAATAAAACATTCTCCCCAAACTTTTCAATAAACGAAAGCACAAGGCAAGGATGTCCACTCTGCCCTTTACTGTTTGTAATTGCTTTGGAAGTCTTGGCCAAGAAGATGCAAATAGTTAAACAGATAATTGGGATCAAAATTCAAGGAGAGGAATGCAAGATGAAATGTCATATAGATGATACAGTACTAACAATTATAAAACCATAAAGCTCTATATGAGAGTTGATGAAAGTAATCAAAGATTTTGGTTACTTTTCCAGATATAAAATGAATGAAAAAAACAAAAACAAAGATGATAACAAGTCAACTTCCAAGGAAGAAAATTTTGTGAAAAAAGAGATTGGCTGTGAGATAGCGAAAGATCCAATGAAATATTTAGAATTTTAGTGACAGGATGCAATTAAGACACATTACAAAACAATTAGAACAAATTCTAGAAAGAAAAACAAGATCTCGAAAGGTGGAACAGCTTAAAACTTTCCTGGGACTTATGGCAACAGTAAAAATAAATGTATTATCCAAAATAAACTTATTTCAAATGGCACCAATTCAAACCCTAGATAAAAAATTACAGGACTAGCAAAGAACAATAAATACATTTACATGGTGGGAAAAACCCAAGAGTAAGATTCAACATTTTGCAAGACTTAAAAAAAGAGAGGTGGACTAGCTTTCCCAACCTCAGATTTTATTATAGAGCGAGCTGTTTATCATGGATAACAGAATGGCTAAAGTTTCCTTAACAGTAGAGTAGCAATTACAGAAGTAGCAGCCAGTGGACTTTATGGAAGTCTATGGAAGACAAGAATCTGAAGGGATGTATTATAAGGGAAAGTCTGTTAAATATTTGGAATTCCTTAAAAGCAAGGGCATGTTCAACAATTTCATCATCATCATCATCATCATCATCATCATCATCATCATCATCATCCCTTTAACACTATCAAACATCAACATCTGCCTATCCCAGGTTCTTGGGAAGGACTCAATAGGTGGATAAAAATGCCAAATCCAGTTTAAACAACTGGCTGTGTGACCAACAATATAATAATGTTATTATTCATTAAATTTGTATGCTTCCTGACTCTCAACAACTCTGCGTGGCTCATGACATCAAAGAAAT